AAATATTAAGGAAAAATCAAGGATACAGAAAATAATACGGTTGGATCATAACCTTAAACTAATAACACAGTTAGCAGTTTAACTTCCACAGTCAAAGGCAACTTTAAACTAATGAGTTTTTAACTCTGACTTCAAAGAACTCAGGTTTTCAGCTCTTTTCCAGTCTTATGGGAGTTTGTTCCAGATCAGTGGAGCATAGATGCTGCTTCTCCATGTTTAGTTCTAGTTCTGGGTGGACAGAGTAGGCTGGAACTAGAAGACCTGAGAGGTGATGATCCACCGACAACAGATCTGTTATGGATTGAGGTGCTGATCTAATTCCGGGATTTCTAGACTAACAGAAGGATTTTAAAGTCTCTTCTCTGAGCTAAAGGGAGTCAGTGGAAGAACTTTAGAACCGGGCTGAATATTTTGGACCAGCTGCTGCTGTTGGACTTTTTGGCAAACTTGTGAAGACAACGTTGCAGTAATCAATTTTTTTTTTTTTTTTTTTTTTTTTTATCAATGTCCTATCTTGCGATATGGCAATAAGAATAATTGTCTTGAAGCCAAAAAGAGCCCAACAGATTTTACTTTCACAAGTGGAGCAGTACGGCTATCGCCATAGTGTTCCGCTTGATTTATGCATATAAATTGCATTATTATAATTATGCAGGGAGTTTTACAGATTATATGGACACTGCAATGTAGGTAGAACAGGAAAGGAAAAACAGAAAAAAAGGAGAACAGATGAAAGAAAGAGGAGATAAAAGGGAGATTACGATAAAAATGTTCAGTCTGCTTCATCACCTGCAAAGGGATGTAAAAAGAACAGCACAACCAACGGACATGGTACAAGACATACAGTAACACCTAGATACTATCACTGAAGTATAAGTAGTAATATTTAATCTGATATGTATTCTGTGTTACCTGAAGATAAGTAGTTACCTGTAGTTGTTTTTGAAAGTGCAGTAGTCAATTCTACTAAAGATAAATGCATGAATGAGTTTTTCCAGATCCTGTTTGGACATTAGTGCCTTAATCCTGGAGATGATTTTCAGGTAATAATTTGTGGACCTGGTAAATGCCTTTATGAGCTGCTGAAGGTTCAGGTCTGAGTCCATCATGAGACCAAGCTTTCGGTCTCATGATGGACTCATTTCATGAGACCATATTAATCTGCTCTAAGCATTTAACCAACGTTCCAATCGGTTCATAGTCAGCTGGTGACATTGTGATGTAAATCTGTGTGTCATCTGCATAGTAATAGTAATGGATCTTGTTGTTTGCTATAATCTGAGCTAAGGGGAGCATATAGAGGTTCAATAGGAGGGGCCCCAGGATGGAGCCTTGAGGAAACCCGCATTTGATTTTTTTGGTCTCTGATTTAAAGTTCCTTACTGAAACAGAGAAGTCCACGTCTTTCAGGTAGGATTTAAACCAGTCCATTGCAGACCTAGTTTTCCAGATGCTCTAATAAAATCGAGTGATCAACAGAATCAAACGCTGCAATCAGGTCCAATAATACCTGAAATGCAATGTTTGTTTTTAACACCATGTGTCTAACGAACCTGGTGAATTTTTTTTTTTTGGCACAAAACTATGAGAAAAATCTGAATAAATCAGGAAATAAACAAGATTGGCTCTAAGGAGAGCGGAGACAGAGATTACTGAAGAAAACCTGCTCCCGACCAGGTCAGCTCTGAGGAGAAGGTTACTACAGCAACGGAAACAGACGCTGAGGAAACTATATTAAGCCGAACAAAGTATTGAAATGGAAGATTAACTTACCAAACAACAAGGTCACTGTCTGCTGCAAATCTATAATACATAGTTCTATTGGTGTCTATACTGTAGGTATCTGTCCACCTTCTTTCTCAGTCAATTAAGCATATCAAATTAATTTTCTGCTCTATCTGTTGATACTGCTTAATGCTTTTTGTCCTTGACAGATTCATTGTAGACTTTTTATTATTCAGCTTTATTATCAGAACATTGAAAGCCAGATAATCCGGAATTAAGAACCTTTGGCATATGTACGTGGCCTTATCTTCTCATTGCTACAATATAACAATAGACATGCATAGGGCCTTTGCAGCTATTCCAAACGTATTCATTAGCAGATTTCTATAGAGGTTCATGACACACATCTAAACGTTTCTAGACCCCTGCTCTAGAGTTTAAAACAGCTGCGTTAGACACATTTCAGCACAAACACACAGAGGAACCAGAAAACCAGACTCTAAATCCAGGAAGTGGAGGTTCATTAAATGTGGTGTTGAAGGTGTAGAGGTGGACCAGTGAGCTGGAGCAGACTTTGTAGAAGGACAGGATACCGGCAGGACAGTCCACATACACTGCTACTCTGTTTGAGGAAGATGATGATGAGGAGGAAATTGGTGCCTTTATGTTATTGTGCCACACAGAGTAACCATGGCGATCAGAACATCTCAGACTCCAAGACTTTTCATTTCCTCCAAACATGCAATCTTCATCTCCCCCTTTTCTTTTTATTCCTCTGTAACTCAGTGATAGATACACAACTCCGCTCCACTCAACCTCCCAGTAGCAGCGACCAGACAGACCAGACTCACACAGTAGCTGAGGATGCCTGAAGTCAAATCTGTCTGGATGATCAGGATATGACTGCAGCTCCTCCACATTTGTCACTCTCTTGTTGTCAGAGAGTTTAAGGTTTCTGCTCACTGTGTTTGTGTCAATAGTGAGCTGGCATGAATCTGATGGAGAGAAGAAACACAATCCAACTGCAGTTGTTGGTCATTTATTGACACTTTGATGATAGCTCTTTAATGAGCGATGAGGGATTTTGAAAATGGTTGAATCTGAGCTGCCATGTTGTAAGGAATCAATTGAAAAAACACACTTACACTTCCTTAAACCTGGTGTCAACCATTGGACTCCAGCAGGCTCCACCCTGAAAGGAAGATTGGGGGGGGGTTATGGGTGTCAGATAATCACTCTTTTTTTTCAGTGTGCAATTGGGAACCACTTAAATCATCGTCTCGAAGGTATCATTTTGAACTTTGTTCATCACTAATTTGTCAAATAATTTTTTTGTATGCTTTAATCTTTCATCCATTTTAGTATTCTGTTGTCCGTTTTATACCATTTATGTCTGCCATACTTTCTGACATGCATTTTCAATTATTGTACATACCTAGGAAGGGAGGGTGCTCTTAAGGGGACAGCCTCTGCATTTTAGTTAGTTCAAAATTCAACCCTAACCCTAGGGTTAGGGTTAGGGTTTTGCACAGCCTCTCGATGTGCAAAACTGATAGAGATAAACCCCAAAGTGATTTGCAGGTTTAATTACAGTAAAATGCGGCTCTACAAAGTTTTAATCAAGGGATCTGAATAATTTCGCACACCAAATTTTCAGTTTTTCATTTGTTGAAAAATGTAAATTATCCAACAAATGTTGTTCCATTTATGATTGTGTCCAAATTTATGTTGATTTATAAAAAAAAAAAAAAAGAATGTCTTTATAGTAGAAGCCTGAAATATGGGAAAAGGTCAAAAATGTTTTGACCTTTTTCCATATTTCAGGCTTCTGGTTCAGTCTCCACCCTCTCTGTAATTGTCTCTACTGGTTTCCCCTGTCGCCTCCTGTATATAAGCTCTCTCCTGATCCGTCTTCAGTGCCAGATCGTTTCTAGCCAGCCTGGTGAGAACCTTCCAGCCTTTAACATTGAGAACCTGTCTGCCTGCCTACCGACCTGGATTTGTCCCCTGATTCTGAACCTGCCTGATCCCTCTCTGGATTTGTCTGCCTGTCTGAGTCCTGATACTAGATCCCGGATTGACCACCTGCGCTTCTGAACCCTGTGAGTACCTGAGCCTGCCTGCCCCCTTTACTCTCTGTGTTTATCAGGAAATTGGACCTGGAACTGGAATCGGAAATATCTGCTGGATTACACCCTCCTGTACCTCTGCTGCTTTATTGGACCCCGTTACCGAACCTGGACTGTCTCTGGAATAAAGCCACTGAAAAGCCCGCACAGTTTGTCGACCGCTCAATGGTCTGCCCCGCAAACAAGGAGACGTCTCTGTCCCCAAATCCTCCTGCCTGTCCCTGGCTTACACTCAGAGCTCTGACTCATCTCGTTACAAGGTTAGTCCTTCGTCAACTCCTCAGTTCTAACCTGCCACTGCAGCCTCTAACCTGTCCCTCTGCCTCTAGGACGTTCCCGCCGTTTATAAAGGGCTACACACCCGGGAGCCAGCGCTGTTTAAACCCTGCTTTTTTCAATAAATACTTTAAATGTCACTGAACGGTTGAGATTGAATCTTGGGTCCAAATCCAGTTAATTACAATAAATATGCTACATGATAAATGGTAAATGGCATGTACTTATATAGCGCCTTTATTCAAGTCAGGAGACTTGACCAAAGCGCTTTACACTA